TGCTAAAATGTTGCTTTTCCGTTTGCTCTCTCTTTATGTATGCATGCTGTTTTGTGATAAATCAGTATTACTTAAACCAAGGTTGCGATTTATGCGTAGTGACGATTTTTAGTCAGTTATTACACGGGTGAATGCAATGCATCAAACAACAATTCCTTGTCTTTCGTGCGACAGCCTGATTCCATTAAAATGGCATGGTATTCCTATTGCTTGCAGGTCTATCTGTTTTCGGCTGATTGCATCAACGTGCTGTGCTGTGAATTTTTCTTAATGGGATTAATAATTAATAGAAAATTTATTCCGTGAACCTAAACTGTATATCAAACTGCTCTCCATTTCCCCGCTGCTCCTCAAATATATTTTTTACAGTGTGTGTAGAGGGGTTGGCAGATGTAAAAATCACCGTAACTTCATGAAGTGTATTTTAGTTACTGTAGTTTATACTCACCAGTAAACTAGTTAATATTTAAATTTTAACTTTGAAATATGAATGTTTCCGCTGTTTTAGGGGTTCTCGGCTTCCCTGTACGCATTTTATCGTGATAGCTTTGGTCGTCCGCTAACAGCAAGGAGCCACACTGGCTTGCCGTTGTATTTTAATCCGTCGTATGGATTCTTTGAACCGAGCGAAAAGGTAGTCAGGACGATCACACGTCCAAACTGGTGGGTAAAGTCTGGTCGAACCGCACGCACCCTGCACTTCCTGGTCACACCTCGTGTTCAGGTACGACATGTGTTTGTATAACTAGTATCATATTTGCAATCAAATTATTTTGAATTATAACCTCTTCTCAGTCAGCATGCCATCTCCTTTTTTCCACCCTTGCTTTCATTGCTCTAGTATTCAAATTGATGATCATTTCATAACGCGATGGCCAAAATACTGTAGATTTTCGTTTTTTGAAGTGGATTGTAACGGCTGCAGGACCAGAAACTTTGCTGACCCACCGAGTGATTTCCATGGTGATTGAATGTCCTTTTATGATAAACTACTTCTATTATTTTATTCTGAATTTAGCCGTCTAAACTCTAAATTTTTAAATGCAGTTCGAGTAATACAAAAAACATTACATACAGACCCGACTTACGTCATAGGCACGTTTCGTAAATCTGTACCTAACAAGAATTTTGCATAACTCGGATCTAACCCACTCTCATCAATCACATCCACTATTCATCCTCTAACTCACTCACCCCCTGTTGCTCAGTTGTTTGCAGTGCATTAATGCAGTAGAAGTTGTAATCTGTTCTGTAGGTTATTTCTAGTTTCCTGATTCGTTCGCATCGTGCGCACACAAATAAGATTTCAGAATGTAATTGTTAATGCCCAGTTTATGATGCAGTATAAATAGCATAATCACAGAAAAATAAAAGTTTTATTTTTACGTTCGACGTTTCTTGTGAAATTATGTATGAGATGATTGAACATTGGTTTATTTCTTCTCTTTATAAATCATTCGATAACAGGCTAAATCATTATCTATTTCTCTTTTAACTTTTGATAACCGTCATGCACTTGTATTCATCTTTCTAATCTTCTGCCTTCTGCTGAAATCTCACAGAATGCGATTGTCTTCTTTTCTCATGTAGCATTTTCGTTCCTTTTCTGATTCCGAAGCTTCAGCAAAAGTAGTTTGTTGCTTATAATTCAATGAGTTCATCACTGGTAATTCATCTCGGTGTTTGTGGACCGAATCTTAGATGTAATGTTCATCAACTTCTGATTTTAGTCGTTCGGCAAGCTTCACTATTTGCGAAACATAGCTGTTAGTTGGCTTGAAAACAGGGTAGTTTGTTAGGTAAAATTGTTATTGCTCGAAATTTTTTCCATAGCCTTTCCAGTCTGGTGTTCTTCAGTTGGTGGTAAGGCGCAGACTCAGAGAACCCACGATAAATCCCGAGTTCAGTCATCGGTCAGAGTCAATTGACCTTGTTCCTTCTGAGCTGGATAAGTGATTATTACGTTGTGCAATTGAAACAGGAGACTGTGCGTTACTCTTGCCACCTGGATGTAGACCCTGCCTTTAACAAAGTATGGCATTAATGGCTGATTGTTTCGAAACGCAGATCAGCACCGCGCCATCAAATTCGTGAACAGAATTTTCTTTGTGCAGAAATGGTGCAATCATGAAAGTGAAAGAAAACATCTTTTTCTTTCTTTCAGACTAATTTGCGAATCCAAATTTTCGTTCGTAGGTCGAGGACTGTCTATGTGCGCAAATAAATTTATTTTACTCATGCAAATCCATTTAAATATGGCACAGGCAACGTTTGAGAAATTCATAATAAATTATTTACGATGATATGACTACAGATAACTTTTAGCAAAAACGATTTCTGCGTGAGATTTAACTCTATAGACAACCATGAGAAGATGTAATGAATTAAATTTTGTTTTTCTAACTTGAGTACTAGATGTATTGAGCCTAGTTCTTCGACAGGGGGAAAAGTTTTCGTGATTGCATGCCTTATTGCTTGAATAGTAGAAACATAACCGTGTTTTTAAGTGGTAAAATGAAACAGAAATAAACGTTAGGCGGATTACAGGATAATGGCACCAGAGTGAACTGTTTACTAGCAAGCGACGGTGTGTTCTATTACCTGATGCAAGCCAGGACAGAAATGACCAAGTCACGAGTATGCTCCATTAGACTGTAAATGTTCATTATTCTTGATCTAGTAATTGGATATATGATGGACAAAGTGGAAGAGTCAGTTTTTTAAACTTTTCCTGCTAACTAACTAATTTTTTACCAAGCAAAAGTAAAAGTTAGATGTTAAATGAACTTAGGGGATGTAAAAAATTTTTCGAGAAAACTCTTCCAGGTGACTTACAATATCCACAGTGAGAAAATTATATTATAATTTGATAAAAGAGCTGCAGAACATGAATCTCTGAAGAATGGGAAACCTGAGCATTCATCTCCGACGTTTTCTACTTGGGATACTCGTTTAGTCCGTCGAATGTCATGTCCATTGATAAGGAAAAAACAGACTTCGGGCTGCTAATCAAAGAATCGTTGTATATGCTGGCTAACAAAAGTTGATTGCTGTAGCGAATGTAAGACCTGGTATAGTTTCATCGGCAGCTGCAATTTCATGTTCCAGCTTGTCCGGAAGAAGTAATGGAACAAACGCTATTGTAATTTGAACCCACTTTTTACGTATGCCTTCTTTTATTTGCACACTATAACCCTGAAAAAGATGCTGGCTGGGTGTGCGGCGTCAAACGGCGTCAGTGAATATAGGGAACTAAATCATCTTTTTCAAAATGTTTCTTTGAATCGTAAATCGAGAATCCAGGATTATTTAAAAGTTTTCGCCATTTGTTTCATTTTTGACGCGCTAAATTAATTTTGAAACGGTTCCCCTTTATTATCTGGTTGGTGGCGATCGAATAATGCATAACAACTCCAAGCCAGATTTCACACGGTATTACACCACCTCCGGTGATAACCAGACCACGACTCCATTGTATTTATGTATGTACAGTTCAAAGGACATCTCGCGCCGTTTTGTTAGACAGAGCTACCAAACACTCGTTGCTCTGCCTCCTTCCTCATAGTTGTCTACTTGGCAGTGGTAGTAAGTTTCTGAAAGCATTGGTTGTTACGTCATTGGTAAATTTGTAGCAAACCCATGTTTGTTATACTGTTCAGTTGATTTAAATGGCATTATACTCGTGATTTGCCAGAAGGTTGTTCTTCCTCTTATTAAAATATAAGGGAAATAGCACTTTCTGATAAAAATATTTCCGTTAGGCGTTTTTCTTTTTTTTGCAAAGGATGACCAAAGAGCGGAATAACAAAATCGGTTAGGAGTTCGGTTTGGGTGGTGGTGAATTTCATGCTTTTTTTGTACATGATGGTTTCGTTGTGATTCTATAACAGTAGTCGCTGTTGTCATCATCATCATCAACATCATGGTTTCCATTGCCTATTAATCGCTACAGTCGTTATCGCTCTAGTCGTAATCGTAATTTTGTTTATCAATTATTGTAGCAGTCGTTCTTCCATTTAATCCTTTATATTGTAGTGGACCATGGTTATCGTAGTTATGTCGCCATCTCTGTGCGTTTTCATCATGATATTGCTCAGAAATTTAAACCCTATTATAATTATACTGAATATTATATAATCTGTTAGCTGCACCATGATTATAGTCGTAATTAATGTAATTTTCATGATCGTTTTAACCATTATCACCTCGTCCTAATTTAATTATCGTCATCGTCGTTACGGTTGTAGTGGTATGATTATGGTTTTTATAGCATTTATAAATCTGAATGCTTGTCAATTTTTACAACGATGGATAAGTAAATGCATCTTAATTGAACTGTCGTGTCATTCTATTATTTGCTATTGTAACGTAATTAGCATCGTCATGTTTTTGGCCATAATATGGCTATGTTCACAATTGTCATCATTGTCATGTTGGTCATGAGGCACTGGTAATCTGGGTTTCTCTGGTGATACAGATGACGATGACAAAACACCAACAACAAATTCAGAGAGGGACTGCGGTCTTTTGCCAATGTGTGGGCGCAAAATTTCATGATGGCATATAAAAGCTCCCACCTCACTTATCAGGTAAATGGGTTTCTCGACCTGGTTGGAATGAGTACCGTGTGAGCAGGAAACCATTGATGGAACAGGGATCCATGTGGACGGAATCCATTGTTTAAACTGCGCATGTCTGGCGAAAGTGCATGTAAAATCAGGTTGCATAAAGTTACTCATCACATGAAGAGGTTGTTCGGGACGCCGGATGTATCGCTTGCGAATGCACTACAACCATTTCACATGAAACTGTCGACTATGAGACACTCTTCTTTTTGTTATGCAGCATTACTGTAGCTAACAGATACACTGCATGAGAAAGTTTTTTTCGAAATATTCCGAGCTGTAATATTTGTCAGAAAACGCTTTCAATAGCGGTATATCCTGCCCGGAACGCTCGATAAAGCATTTGCAAGATTAAAAATTTAAACATAATTATAATTCATATCTTTCAATTATTATAAACCAATTTTAATGAACATAAATCACTGATTTGTCTGCTTTTGATATTTACTAGGCATATTGGGTCGTTAAAGTTATTAAATGGGAGTAGACTTGTAAAATAATAACTCCCATGTTATTTTATTAAATTTGCTCTTTCTAATCATTCTGAAATTAGCATGAAACGCTGTTTATTTATGCACAGTATAGTCAGTAGGATGATTGACCACTACCGACATTTTTAGGTATTTATTACGTACCTTCTTCTGCTAGGTAAATACTTGGGTTGGAATTGTTTTGTCACTCGTACCTGCTCATACTCTGGTGGTCAGGAGGTCTCTCAATAGCGTTGGCGCTGATCATTCGTCCGGTTGACTAAACTGTTTTTGTACTTTTTATAAATTAGCCGTGTTTGCGCTGTTTTGAGTATCACCACCAATGCTCGAAGGAAATTATCAGAATGCGCAATCGTGTAAGGAACCAGTTCAAATGAAGAGAACCAGTGAAATCGTTTCCTCCTATGTTTGCGACGAGTTATAATCTACCTTATCAATCAATAAGCCGCTAACTTAATTATGACCTCTGGAAACTTGTCATTTGCCCACCTCACCCTCAGTCTTGAAATGAAAATTTTCAGAATTGTACTGCAGTTTAAACGATCTTTTATTTTTTGCAGGCGGAGGTTAGGAAACATTTTAACTGCTCACTTTTGGAAGGCGCTGAGTTGGAAAATCAAGGTACCAACGGCACAATATTTGGTCATCTAGAAAAGCGTGTATTTGAAGTGAGTGAAAACTGTGAAAAGAAATATTTAACCGCTAATGGCATCTCGTTTTTTTTTCAGAACGAGGCGATGACCGGAACACACACGCAGAACCCCATTTATTCAAGAATCACCCTAGCAATAATGGAGGACACCGGCTGGTACAAGGCGAATTATGACGTAGCCGAGCCGCTGATGTGGGGCCACAACTTGGGCTGTGATTTCGCCATGAAAAGCTGTGGCGAGTGGATCAAAAACGCTAGACAAAGGTTTGTAAATAATTGGTGAGATGCGTGAAGTCCTCTTGCTCTTCATTAATTACCCCGAATGTATATGCGAGGGATGTGGGGGGCGCACGTTGTTAAGCAATTACACTTACAGTGCCTTTTGAGTGATGCAGTGATGACGACTTTTTCTTAACGATAGATGGATCTTTTCGATACGTAGTAGGACACT